CAGATCTGTCTCAGCTGGGGGAGGCCAGCAGCAAGGTAGGAGCCTGTTTTCTGCCACGTACCTTTTTAACCCGGCACCTCAAGCATTTCCCCGCTGGATATGATAGGGAAACAGGACCCGGGCACCATCGCGGTTCGAGAAGAGGAACCTTCCGGCACTTCCGACTCTGAGGAAGACTAGACGGAAGACTAGGACCACAGATAGCAAAGGTTCCTTTTTCCAGTAGAAGATACAGAAGGATGCACACTACTCTGAACGCATTAATCTCAGACACAATTCAAAACGGCTACAGGATAGAATTTTCACAACTCCCCCCTCGCAGGTTCTTCCCGACTCCACTGCCAAGGGAGGAAGGGAAGGCAAACGCACTTCTGAACCTCCTGGAAGAAATGCTCCAACAGAACGTGGTCAGTCGGAGGAGGAAGAGATGGGAAGAGGATTCTATTCCCATTTTTTTTTAAGAAGGAAGACTGCTGGGAAATATAGAATGCTATTCAACCTAAAGAAAGTGAACAAGTTCGTAAAACCCAAAAAATTCCGCATGGAGACGATCTACACGATGAAAGAAATCCTTCCACCTGGGCTATTCATGGCATCAATAGACCTAAAAAGGACGCATACCTTCACATCCCGATTTAAGGGAGGAGTCAAGGAAGTCTCTAAGGTTCGCGCTAAAGGGCAAAAACAGAACTATCTTGTTCCAGTTCAATGCACTCCCTTTCGGTCTGATTTTAGCGCCAAGGATATTTACGAAAATCCTAGAGGAACCTCTGCAAGGTTTGAGGCTAGAAGGGATAACTATCATCCCCTACCTGGACGACTTACTCTTGTTCGCAGATACGGAAAGATCTCTGAAGTGCCACGTGGAGCATATAGGTGGCTAATAAATATGGAGAAATCACAGTTAGTCATGAAGCTTGTCGGCCACATGACAGCAGCCATACTGGGCGTACAATGGGCACAACTACACTCCAGAAAGATTCCGAATCATGTCCTCTCCCTCTTGGATGGCAGCCAAGCTTCTCTAGATTCCAGCATTTGCCTCACGCACAAAGTGAGAGTCATTGGAGTGGTGGGAAAACATCCACATGTTGGAAGCTGGGAGGAAATGGAAACAATCCAACCCAACAAAAATTCACCACAGACTGAAGCGTGCGGGGGTGGGGCGTACACATGGAGGGTTGACTGACCCAGGGCAAGTGGGACCCGGAAACCGCAAAAAGGTCATCAAACTTCAAGGAATTACTGGCAATTTTCAGATCGCTTACAACCTTCCAGGAGAAAATAGAAGGAAAAGAGATTCAGATCCTGTCTGACAACATGACGGCCGTTGCATACTTGAACAGGCAAGGAGGCATGAGGTCCCCAAAACTAATGGGACTGGCGGAAACCCTCCTGAGCTGGGCAGAAAGAAGCCTGAAATCCATCACGGCGGTCCATCTAAAGGGAGACCTAAATCTGCTAGCAGATCAGCTGAGGCTAGAGGATCTCTTCGCCAGCCGAAGGAACGCAAAACTAGGAAAATACTTCTGCCTTCAAAGAGACCCCCAGAGCACGGGGACAGATGCACTGGCCCAGCCATGGGAGGGGGAACTCCTTTTTACGCTTTTCCACAATTCAGACTACTACCAAAAGTGGTACAGAAGATAGTCGTCTCGGGCCAGAGTCATCATGATCGCTCCATTCTGGCCCAAAAGGTCATGGTTGTCCTTCCTGAAAAAACTGAGCCTAACAGACCCGTGGACAATACCACCCACGTACGACCTACTAGTGCAGGGGGCAGTGGTACACCCACACCCGGAAAAGCTGTTGTTGACCAGCATGGCTTCTGAGCGGAGCAGGCTAGCCAAAAAAAGGCTTATCAGAGAGAGTAGTTACCACCATCTTGGACAGGTGGAAAAAGTCTACAAATGCCACTTACGGCAAAATATGGAGAAAATTTTCCTTCTGGAGAAATAGGAATGAGTCGTCAGAAGCTCCTATCCTAAATACAGTACTCGAATTCCTTCAAGCCGGGGCAGACAAAAATTTGGCCGCCAATACACTCAAAGTGCAAGTAGCTGCTCTGTCTTAACTTCCTAGAGCTGAAACTAGGATCCCCTGGTGATCAGATTCCAGAGGGCCATCTCTAGACGCAGAGCCCCGTGCACGCCAAAATACCCCCTCTGGAATCTGGGCACAGTCTTAAGTTTCCAACAGAAACCCTTTGAACCCTTGGAGGAATGCTTTCTCAGGCATTTGACCCTCAAGACCACCCTTTTGATAGCCCTAGTCTCTGCTCGCAGAGTCAGCGAACTGCAAGCTCCATCAGTAACAGAGCCTTACTGCACAATACTGTTGGATCGGATTATCCTCCATACGGACCTGGCATTACCTACCAAAGGTCACATCGCACTTGCATAGATCACAAGAAATCGTAATACCATCCTTCTGTGGGAACCTCAGCAACGCCGAAGAAAGAGGCTACAACAAAATTGATGTAAGAAGATGCCTAATCTCGTACATCAAGTGCACTAAAGCATGGAGACGCTCATCCAGCCTCTTCATCTTATTCCAAGGACTGTATACAACGCCTCCAAAGGCACCATTACAAGATGGATAAGAGAAGCTATCTCAGAGGGGTACAAAACCGTCTCACTAACACCACCACCTGGCTTGAAATCACACACGACTAGGGCCACCGCAGCTATCTGGGCAGAGAGAGCTGGCGCCTCCCCCAGACAGATCTGCAGGGCCGCAACATGGTCCAGCTTCAGCACCTTCACCAGGCACTGCCTGTTGAACCTGATCACCAATAAGGACCAGGCGTTTGGCAGGAAGGTCCTGCAAGCAGCAGCCCCGCCTAATGTACGTATTCCTATTCAATCCTGTCATTGTGAAGCTGTCCTGGAGGATGACCCGGGAAAACGCAGTTATTTACCTGTTAACTGTATTTCCAGGAATCTTCCAGGACAGCGTAGCTCCCTCCCAATTACTGTATAGCTATATGCGCTGGCATTCGTCTTTCAATGAACTGGAAATATGTTTTTCCTGCTGTTATCTTTGTTTTATCCTAGGCCTTCGGTTATATTCCTGTACTGATGGTCCCCTACAGAGAGAGGCTACTTATAGGGAAAAAAGTGGATTGGGTGTTTTCTGGGAGGGAGGAGCCTATCTCTCATTATGAAGCTGTCCTGGAAGATTCCTGGAAATAGTTAACCTGTAAATAATTGCATTTTTTTTTTTTTTTTTTTTTTTTTTTTTTTTTTTTTTTTTTTTTTTTTTGGGGGGGGGTTCATTTTTTTTTTTTTTTTTTTTTTTTTCCATTTATAGTGGGAAAAAAATAAACAAAAAACCCAGTGGTGATTAAATACCACCAAAAGAAAGATCTATTTGTGTGAAGAAAAAAAAAGGATAAAAATTTCATATGGGTACAGTGTTGCATGACCGTGCAGTTGTCATTCAAAGTGCAACAGCGCTGAAAGCTGAAAATTGGCCTGGGCAAGAAGGGGGTAAAAGTGCCCGGTAGGCAAGTGGTTAAAGAAGAATCTGTGCTTGAACAGCGTAGCGTATAGTCAAATTTTTCTTCCTCCTTTTGCTGGCCTAAAACTGTAATCTGGGAGCTCTTGGCCACAAAGTTATTAATAGTACTTCAGTATTTCATATGCCTTTTTGGCTTCTTGGTGACTCTAGCCAGGTTTTTTTTTTTTTTTTTTTGTGTCTGCCTGCCTGAGAGGAAGACTGAATAATGGGGGCTGTTTTTTTTTTTTTTTTTTTAATCAAAATTAAACGGCTGGATTTTAGGTGGCCATACACTGATCAAAATCCAGTTCAGCAGGGACTGAATACATTTCAGTCAGCATGTTGCCGTTCCTGCTCAACCGTAAATGATTGTTTGACAAAAATGTTTCAGCATATCCCTTCAATTGAATTCAAACAGTGGCTGTAGCAGTTGATCAATGTATTCTAATGGCTGCATGTCCCAATGTCCAATTACAATGGGGTTGATATACTAAAACGCGAGAGTGCAAAATCTGGTGCAGCTCTGCTCTGAACAAGCTGAAGTTAGATTGGTTACTATGCACAGCTGCACCAGGTTTTGCACTCTCCAGTTTTCGTAAATCAAACTAAAAACACTGAAAAATGTTTGCTGACTTGGTGTATCTAAGCAATCTGCAGAGTGCTGAAAATATAAAAATGCACGCCATGCCTATACTTACCTACTGAATAACACAGAAATAAATTGGAGTCTTTTGGGAACTTTGCATCCTGGGCACCAAAATTGTAGTAAACCACGAGTGCTGGGGGAAGATGGTTATTGCTCCACCACATTTAACTATGTTTTTATCATGACCTGCAATCCATATTGTACATTTTATTAGAGATTTTTTTGTTTTTTAGATAGATATTTAATAGCATAGGCATTTTGCTCTGAATATAAACTTAGAGGGTGTTCTGTGCTTAGGTATTTTTGAGATTATATTTGTGGTATTGAAGCCTAAAGTGATATTAAAGGCATTTTATTTGTTTAATAAAATAACACACATCATATTAACCTGCTCTGTGCAGTTGTTGTCGTCACAGAGCAGCCCTGATCTTCCTCTTCCCGGGTCCCCTTCCGGCGCTCCTGGCCCCTGCCTCCTGCTGAGTGCACCCACAGCAAGCATCTTGCTATGGCGGCACCCAAGTAGTCATGCTCTGGAGCTGCTGCTCTGTGTGTTCATTCACACACAGAGCCGTGGCTCGGCCTGCCCCCTCTTTCTCCTCCATTGGCTCACTGGCTGTGCTTGACTATCTCAGCCAGTGAGGAGGGAGAGTCCCCAGCCAGCCGAAACTCTCGTGGACATCACTGGATTGTGATGGGGCTCAGGTAACCACCATTAGAGGGGCTGCTGACACCTGGAATGCAGGAAGGTAAAAATCCTTGAGCCTTTACAACCCCTTTAACTGCTCGAATGATTATTATTTCTGTTCTCACCAGTAACGTATTAGTAAACCTTGTTAATTCATTTTCTCAACAGTTACCACGGAAACTCTGGGGAGGTTGGCTGCTACGTTGCTCCTCGACCACTAAGTAAAGACAATAATTACTTTGAGGTGAGCTTTTGACAGGACAGAAACAAGCCTATTGTAAAGTTGACCACACATGGATCAGTTTTTTTCCAGCAGAAAAAAACTGAACAGATTCCCCCCACCTACTCAAGAGGTAGATAAAGGAATCATCCCTGTTGTTGTATTCTGACAGCGGAGACTCCACTGTAGTGCTGATTTGAAGGAAATATTTTCAACAAGCTGTTTTGAGAGAATTTGATCATTGGATTGACTGTGAAGGATAACTATAAATGTTATTTGGTTTAGAAATTAGAGAGTATGCACAAAAATGTAAGGTATAAGTGATATAATTTTTGTTTTTCCTACTGTATGGTAATGTATTTTATTTTGTGGCTGTTTCACAAATATGATGGAGCATAGTTGCTAATCCAGGATTCTGAACTAAGCGTGAGTGCAGCTTCATACAGTGCCAAAACCTGAAAACCAATGTAGGTGGGTTGTGACTAAATGAAAGCGTAAGTTAAAGGTTTGCCTGAGAAGTATGGTGGATTCTTGCCTCTCCCGCTGCCCACACTGCAAAATGCCACTCTGCTGAAGAATGGTCATCCCAAAAGTCTGAGCAGAAACCAAGCCTCTTTAGAGCTTTGATCTCCTGGGCCCTGATGTACTACATGGTTCCTTTTTGATGACCATTACGTCACTTCAGGGTACAGAAGTGACAATTTGGGTCAGCAAGGAAGAATTACTGAGTGCAGTAGGGGACTAGGAAATCAAATATTCAGGAGGATTGGTTTTAGAAGAGATTTTTAAGGGATGACTGGTGTACAGTAGTACAGGTAGTCGGAGAAGTAAATATTTATGATCTTTACAGAGAAATCTTAATTTTGCATTTTTACATTGTAAAAAAAAAAAAGGTCATGTCATCTTAACAAATAACTGCATGTGTTGTGTATGATAATCCTCATGCAATATACAGGCTCCAAACATTTGCAATAAAGACGTATTGAAACAATGCAATTTGGAGCAGTGACCCAGACTGTACATTGCTTCATTTTGCATTTTCAGTTTAGCAGAGGTCGCTTTTAATATATTTAGTAATTTTAATTCAGGATAATGGTTAAGCACTAACTTTTAGATCTAATTAAGCAATTGCATATGGCTTTGTTCTATATGTATAAACTTCTGCACTTATAAAGCATTTATAAACATAACTTTCAACAGTAAAGCAATATACAGTGCGATAAAAGGATATGGGACTTACAGGGCTTTAACTGTGACCAAGCTATGGATGTTCAAGTACTTACATATTCTGAAGTTACATATTACATAGTTAGTCTGGCTGAAAAAAAGACAAAAGTCCATCCAGTGCAACCATTAAAAAAAAAAAAAAAAAGTGACAAATGAGCTTTTAAAACAAGCCCCCTCTGTAACTGAAGGCACTCTGGACCAATTCATCCTAAATTTCACAACCAAAGCACTAAAGTCATTCAACAGCTCAGCTCATGCTGAGCTGAGCTCATGCTTTGTTTACATAGACACAGCTGTGTTGACAGGGGAAAGTGATCCACAGTGTGTCCCTGCAGAGCTGGGAACAGGATCCATCACTTCCTCTTGTAGCAGCACCATCTAGTGTACACCAAGCTCATAGCTAGGTACAGTTAACCCTTTGATCACCCTAGATGTTAACCCCTTGCCAACCTGTGGCATTAGTACAGTGATCAGTGTATATTTATACACTGATAACAGTGTATATCACTGTATCTGTGTTACTGGTTCCCACAGTGTCGGTATACAAATTTCCGCTGCAATGTCGCAGTCCCGCTATAAGTCGCTGATCGCTGCCATTACTAGTATTAAAAGAAAAAAAAAACAAAACATTCCAGTATATGTCCCATAGTTTGTAGATGCTATAACTTTTGCGCAAACTAATCATATATGCTTATTAGGATTTTTTTTGTACCAAAAATATTTAGCAGAATACATTTTGGCGTAAATTTCTGAAGACCTTTTTTTTTTTTTTTTTTTTTTTTTTTAATTCTGTTTTATAGTAAAAAAAAAAAAAAAAAAAAAAAAAAACACCTTTTTTTGCTTAACGCAAAAAGTAAAAACCTCACAGGTGATCAAATACCACCAAAAGAAATCCTCTATTTGTAAAGGGGGGAAAAAAAAAAGGACAAATTTTGTTTTGGTACAGTGTTGCTTGACTGCGCAATTGGCAATTGAAATAACGCAGTGCCATATCACAAAAAATTGCCTGGTCAGGGGGGTAAATCTATTGGTGGACACGTGGTGAAGGTGTACCTGTCGCTCATACACAAATACTATTTTGGGTTTCCTTTTACTTATATGCTGCAGTACAGGTTTCAGTAGCAATAGTTCAGGTTTCAGAATGCAATACTTTGTACTGAGTTGCAGACAGTCCTTTATTCGGAGGCTCATCATAAGTTGTGTTAACTGTCAGTTTAGACTTTTTATATCCACTGTATATAAAAGAACCGGAACAACATTGTTTAGTGAGATGAGGTTTAGGGAATATATATTATTGAAGAATATCAATGCCTGTTTTATAAACTTGTCATTCTTTGGATGTTTTAAATAGCCATCATAAATTTGAAGAAAAAAAAACTATTGTTAGTAACAACAGCCCAGCCACAATGTGCATAGTGAATTCATGTTAAATTAACTGCAGGTAAATGTTCCAGGTGTATTTGCTGTAAATGACATTCATTGACATTTAAATTCACCCAAGTGAGTCTTTTTTATTTCCCCATTTCTCGTGTAATGACTGTTTATTTTTATAGGTGTCTATTGTGGACCGTGGCGTTCGGGGGACAATCGCTGTTGGACTAGTGCCACAGTATTACAGTCTGGATCACCAACCAGGTTGGCTGCCGGATTCCGTGGCCTATCATGCGGATGATGGCAAGTAAGTCCTGTCATGAGATGGCTGGTAAAATCTCAAGAGAATCAAAAACTATTGATTGCTTGAAATGTAATATATTATTTTTTTTATTTATTTTTTTTAAATCCGTTATTACATGCACTCAGGGACAGTGTGAGACCATGTCACTGTGTAATGTTAGGAAAAAGGAACACAAGGTCCGCACAAATGCAAAGTGTGGGACTTCGGAATATCAATTTTTAGCGAAGAAAACTGTTTATACAGGTTTCTCTGGGTTTTTGATATTCCCGGATTGGGCTCCAGTTTGGGGGTTTTGAAATTTCGGGAGGGAAGAAATCCCCAACCCAGTGCCCATATCTTGCAGTAGACCAGCATATTGAGTGAAGGTGTGCACAGCACTAATAATGAAGGATCTGACCATAGCTCAGGACTCCTGTTAGAAGAAAGGTGTACTCCACTCAAGAGACAGCAGTCCATGCTGGAGGAGAGATTTTGTATCTATTGGGCTGAGTGAGTTGAGGAGGTCTGAGAGACCCTGGACAACTAGGTGAGTCCAGGGGACTGAAGGAATCTGAAGTCTCAGGGGTGAGAGCCTGCGGTATCACAGCAACCCCCCTATAGAGAGGTCAGGGAGTGGGCCCCTGCAGCTGGGTACTACAACTGAAATGGCTAAGAGCCAAGAGAGCTTGGAAAGCTGAATGCAACACACAGGTGCTGTGTGAGCCAATCAGAGGGATCAACAAAAAGCCAAGGTTAAGGCCTAAGCAGTGGCACTGCTAAAAGAGCCAAGTGGCTCGGCATACATAAACATTCTAGAGCCAATATAGACAGGAGCCATTATTTCTACCGACATGTCTTTTGGAGTATTGGAGGAAAGCAGACTATCCAGAAGAAACCAACACAAGTACAGAGAGAACATATAAACTCCATGAAGATAGGGATTTGAACGGATGACCATAGTGTTGCAAGGGAGAAAGGCTAACGACGTTACTGTTCTGCCTATATGGTTTTTATCCCAGAGATGTTGCAGTGTCCTGTTATATTGCTGGCATGTGTGAACTAGCTGAGGGAAGGAAAGGTATAGCCATAATAAATTGCCAGGCTTTTCCTGTCTTTGATATCTGTAGAACAATGGAGTGGAAACTGGTTGATTTATTTTTACATCAAACTAACATACAAAACATAGTTTTTTTAAGCTGTACAGTACCTGCCACTTCCAAAGAACTGGACATTGAGTGTATAAACAGATCACTTGTATGAAAACGTTCTAGGATATTCTATCCCAGCTGTGTGTGTTTTTTTTGGGGTTTTTTTTTGTTTGGTTTTGTTTTTACAGTGGAATTACAGTATATAAGGGTTCATTTACACTAGTACACGTTCCCATGACTTGTAACACATCCGTGTGCACAGAAATGCTCTGCATAGCAGCCCACAGCATATACAGTGGATATCAGAAGTCTACACACCCCTGTTAAAATGTCAGGTTTTTGTGATGTAAACAAATGAGACCAAGATAAATCATTTCAGAACTTTATGTATTTTTGCATTTCCTGGTAGGAGGCGCACACCCTAAATACGTCGCCAGCCGCGGCTGTCAATCACCAGGTCCCGGCTAGTGATTACTTGCCGGCACCCGGTGATTTCTGACGCGGGGGAGAACTCCTCCCTGTCAGCTCGGGCACACTGCTTTGGATGGCTGCAGCACAGCTATCCAAAGTGGTGTGTTTACAGTGAAGCACACTGACAAGGCCCCCTATGTAAAATGCTCCCAGCACACAGTTAACCCTTTGATTGCCCCCTTCCTGCCCAGTGCCATTAGTACAATGTCAGTGCTTTTTTTTTTTTTTTTTTTTTTTTTTTTTTTTTTTTTTTTTTTTTTTTTTAAACCACTGATCACTGTATCGATGTCACTGGGGATGTCAGTGACACCAAGTCAGTTCCCTCCAGAGTCAGAATGTCCACCGCAGTCCCGCTATAAGTCGCTGGTCACCGCCATTACTAGTAAAAAGAAGAAAAAAAAATTCCAGTATCTATATCACCATTTGTAAATGCTAAAACTTTCACGTAAACCAATTAATTTACATGTATTGGGATTTTTTTTTCATTTTTAGCAAAGACATGTAACAGAATACATTTTGGCCTAAATTTACAATGAAATTTGGTTTTTTCCTTTTTTTAATTTTTTTACTGGACATGTTTAACCATTTCAATACCGTGCAATTTTACACCTTCCTGCCCAGGCCAGTTTTCACTTTTCAGCGCTCTCACACTTTGAATGACAATTGCGCGGTCATACAACATTGTACCCAAACTAAAATTGTATCATTTTCTTCACACAACTAGAGCTGTTTTTGGTGGTATTTAATCACCGCTGGGGGGGTTTTATTTTTTGCTAAATTAACAAAAAAACACCAAAAATTTTGAAAAAAAACAAGTTTTTCTTTGTTTCTGTTATAAAAGTTTACAAATAAATAATTGTTCTTCATAAATTTAGGCCGAGATGTATTCTGCTACATGTCTTTGGTGAAAATAACCCAAATTAGGATGTATTTTTTTAGTTTGTAGGAAAGTTATAGAGTTCACAAACTATGGTATAGATCTGAATATTGATCAATCCTGAAGTACTGACGGCCAATCTAATTTCTTGAGGTCCAAGAATGTCAGAACAGTACAGATATCCCCAAATGACCCCTTTTTGCAGAGTAGACAGTCCGACGTACTTCATAAGAGGCATAGCGCGTTTTTTGAAGTTGTGTTTTTTTTTTTGTCATAATTTTTTGGAAAATTAAAAAATTAAAAAAATTATTTTCACAATTATTATTTTTTTTTTTTTTTTTTTTTTTTTTTTTACATACGGTCACCAGTGCAGTACAGCGTCATCATATAACTGGCATGGCAGTGAACAGGGACACTGACTGGTGACAGTTAAAAAAAAAATATATATATATATAATATAATTTTATTTTTTTTTTTTCGTATTTCACTATGACCAAAGTAGTACAATGTTACCATAGTAACATTGTACTACTTTGGGGAAGTGATCAGTATTTTTTTTTATTTTTTACACAATTTGCTTATAGCAAAGAATTACTTTGCTATAAGCAAGCATTTACCAGAATGAAATCGATTCATTCAGGTTTTTTTTTTTTTTTTTTTTTTTTTGTGCTTAGCTGTGATTTGGTCACAGCTAATCACATGTGCATGTGACCTGCTGTGACCATTCCCAGCTAGGCACTAGTATACAATGGATGGCATGAATGAAGCCATCCATTGTATACAGCTGTCATGTGACCTGCTGTGATTAGTCACAGCAGGTCACATGGTACCAGCAACGGGAGCCAGTACTCGGATCTGTCATCGGCTGTGTCCGAGGTACCGGCCGGTGACGATCGCAAAACTGGTTAATAGCAAAAAGTATTTTTAAAAAAAAGTTTTCTCAAAAAAAAGTTGTCAGTGTTTTTTTTTTTTTTTTTTTTTTTTTTTTTTATAGCGCAAAAAATAAAAAAACAGGCAATCAAATACCACCAAAAGAAAGCTCAATTCGTGGGGGAAAAAAAAGGAAATACATTTAATTTAAGTGCAACATTGCATGACCGCACAAACAGTCAGTTTTAAAGTAACGCAAAAAATGGCCTGGTCAAGAAGGGTAAATCCTCGGGAGGGCAAGTGGTTAATGTAACCTATAAAATGTACAACTCGGTTGAACAACAAACTGAAATCTTTTAGGTGGAGGGAAGTAAAATTTTAAAAACTAAAATAATAATGGTTGCAAGTGTGCACACCCTTAAACTAATACTTTGTTGAAGCACCTTTTGATTTTATTCCAGCACTCAGTCTTTTTGGGTATGAGTCTATCAGCATGGCACATCTTCACTTGGCAATATTTGCCCACTCTTACTTGCAAAAACACTCCAAATCTGTCAGATTGCGAGGGCATCTCCTGTGCACAGCCCTCTTCAGATCACCCCACAGATTTTTGATCAGATTCAGGTCTGGGCTCTGGCTGGGCCATTCAAAAACTTTAATCTTCTGGTGAAGCCATTCCTTTGTTGATTTGGATGTATGCTTTGGGTCGTTGTCATGCTGAAAGATGAAGGTCTTCTTCTTATTCAACTTTTCTAGCAGAAGCCTGAAGGTTTTGTGCCAGTATCGACTGGTATTTGGAACTGTTCATAATTCCCTCTACCTTGAATAAGGCTCCAGCTGAAGAAAAACCGCCCCAAAGCATGATGCTGCCACCACCATGCTTCACTGGGTTGTGGTGTTTTGCGCCAAACATATCTTTTGGAATTATGGCCAAAATTTTCAACCTTGGTTTAATCAGACCATAACCCATTTTCCCCCATGCTTTTGGGAGCCTTCAGATGTGTTTTTTTGCAAAATGTAGCTGGGTTTGAACGTTTTTCTTCGTAAGAAAAGGCTTCTGTCCTGCCACTCTATTCTATAGCCCAGACATATGAAGAATATGGAAGATTGTTGTCCCATGTACCACACAGCTGGTACTTGCCAGATATTCCTGCAGCTCCTTTTAATGTTGTTGTAAGCCTCTTGGCAGCCTCCCAGACTTGTTTTCTTCTCATCTTTTCATCAATTTTGGAGGAATGTACAGTTCTTGGTAATGTCACTGTTGCACCAAATTTTCTTCACTTGAAGATGACTGTCTTCACTGTGTTCCATGGTATATCTAATGCCTTGGAAACTCTTTTGTACCCTTCTCCTGACTGATACCTTTAACAATGAAATCCTTCTAATGCTTTAGAAGCTCTCTGCGGACCATGGCTTTTGCTGTAGGATGTGACTAAGAAAATGTCAGGAAAGACCTACTAGAACAGCTTAACGTTATTTGGGGTTAATCAGAGGCACTTTAAAGGATGGCAGATGTGTACTGACTCCTATTTAACATGATTTTGAACGTGATTGCTTAATTCTGAACACAGCTACATCCCAGTTAGGGTGTGCACAATTATGCACCACCTTTTTTATTTTATTTTTTTATTTATTTTTTTTTTTTATACCCCCCATTT